CTCTCTCTCTCTCTCTCTCTCTCTCTCTCTCTAGTGTGTGTGAGTGTTTATGTGTGTGTGTTTGTGTGTGTATGTGTGTGTATATGTGTGTGTGTATGTGTGTATATGTGTGTGTATGTGTGTGTGTATGTGTGTATATGTGTGTGTATGTGTGTGTATGTGTGTATATGTGTGTGTGTGCATGTGTGTGTGTATGTGTGTGTGTATATGTGTGTGTATGTGTGTGTGTATGTGTGTATGTGTGTGTATATGTGTGTGTGTGTGTGTGTGTGTGTGTGTATGTACATTCAACATGACACACATGTGGAGGCCAGAGCACAACTTGCAGGAGTTGATCTTCTCCTTCTACCCTATGGGTCTTGGGGATTGAACTCAGGTCCTCAGGTTTGCTAGCAGACGCCTTTTCCCATGAAGCCATCTTACCAGCCCACACAACAGACATTTTAAAAGGTTGCTCTTGGGGCCCAGAGAGATGGCTTGGAGGTTAAGAGCACTTGTTCTTACAGAGGACCTGGGTTCAATTCCCAGCACCCACACGGTGGCTCCCACCCCCCTCAACTCTAGTTGCGGGGGGTCCATCAGCCTTGTCTGGCCTCTGTGGGTACTGCAGACACACAGTGCACATACCTACACGCGGGCAAAGCACTCCCACACAAAATAAAAACAAATATGTATGACTGCTGCTTTTGTTCTATGCATTGTGAATGAGGTTATGATATAGCAGGGAATTCCTTACATTCAGCGCTTCTCTGGCCTCCTAGCCACATCCGGAAGTTCGGTGACTGAAACGGAAATCACCAGGTTAGCACTAACATCTTTTCTCCCCATCCCCTGGGGCTGGCAGACTAGGACCGTCAGATCTCTGTAAGCACACTGGGGTGGGGAGACCATTCGCCTATAGAGAGTGGGCAAGCACACACCTAGCATCCAAGGCCACTGTGGTCATGTTATCTCATGTGTGTCTTTCAGAAGAGGACTTGTTTGACCTGGATGATATAGGACAGGATTCTGGCCTCTCTGGAGGCTCTTGGTTCTCAACATGCAGCAGCTTCATAAAGCATAAACCAGAGGCCTGAATGTGGTCATGGACTTTTCCTCTCTTCCCTTGGGGAAAAGAACTGGCCCAGAGCCTGATATCTGTGGGTTCCTGGCTATTAAGCCAGACAGGGCTGGGAGTCAGTGACCACGAACTATGCTCTGACAGACACTCACATGTATTTTTTCCTTCGTTTCTGTCTAAGCATTCTCCACAGAAGGGTGTGTCACCACATTGTACTTGTTTAGGTGACCCACAGTTACTGTTTCATGGCTGTGTCTCTCTTGGACCTGTCTACCCTTCCAGAATAGAAACATCCCAAGTGCAGTGTGCTGTCTCCAGCATGAAACCCTCCAGGGGCTGCTGACCTGTTCCCCGGGTGCCTTCTTCACTTGTGGGTGGCCCACCTTCAGAACTGGGTGTGCATGCCATGTCCCTCAGCCAGCTTGTCGGTGAGAACACTGGTCAAAACCACCAGGCTGTGCCTCCAGGTCCTCCAAAGCACTTTATGAGGACCTTTCTATTCTTCAGGGGCAAAGATGCCTGTGACACCAGAGGAGAAAACAATCTCCTTTCTCATGCATGCATCGGACGTGGGAACCCCTGGGAAATCAAGCATTTTGGCCAGACACACAGATCACAAACCTGAAAATGGCGAAGTCAGGCTTCCAACGCACAGGGCTTTTATCTCTGGCTGTCAGCTTGGCCCCCACGCCTATTTGATGGAATTTTAGCAACTTGGAAAAATAGCTCAGTGCATCAGTAAGAGGTACAGAAACAGTCTCAGCAGCCCCTTGGCTGGTGGTTTTAGCAGCTCTCACTCCTACTGATGAATAATTCAGTTTGTCTGTGGAGTGAGACAGGTCAGACAAGGGCTGTGTGCGTGCGTGCGAGCGAGCGGGTGGGTGGGCGGGCAAGCGGCTGCTCTAACCCAGGCAAGTTTCCAAACACCCCAAAGGGGCTAAAACGCCAGGCTGAGAAGTGGAAGTGGCGTTGAGGGGCAGGCAGGGAAGGCCGGGGGGAGGGTCTTCAGGGGTGGTGGGTGAGCCCGAGGAGGACAGGTCACTTCAGAACCAGAAGTGAGATCAGGAAGTAAGGCACCTGCAGTGACAGAGGGGCTGTAGGCTGACTGGGTGGCTGGGTCACAGGTGGGATGGCCTGTCTGTCATTGCAAAGGATGGAGACTCTGAGAAGCCAAAGGCAATGAAAGCGGCCAGCTTGAGCGGGGCAAGGAGGGTTGGTGAAACCGGCCGTTTTGGTCTTTAGCTCCCGAGAGTGTTAGCCTTTATGGGAGGCTTTACAGGGGATGGGGTTCAGAAAGGGAGAGAAATTGGTGCTGAGGAGAACGGGGAAGGTCGGCGGGGAAGGAGTGGACACCAGGAATCCAGCGAGACACGGGAGGTATCTGGGTGTGCGTAGAGGAGTCCCGAGCCCTGGTCTTTCCACCACAGACTCAGCCCCTGGAAGAGCCAGCATTGGCAGGCAAGATCCCCGTTCACATCTTCATCCGGCTCACCTGACGTCAGAGCCTGGTGGCCTCTGTGAAGGAAAGATGACGCCTTCACCATGCAGTCATGTGGAGATACAGCGCATGCTCATGTTTGTGATGAAGCTGGTGTGTGCAAACCTCCCAAGCTGCCAACTGTACACACCTACAGCAGTGTACACATGGCACAGAACGCCGGACAGCAACATCTGACCCTTGACCGCTTGTATAGTCACTCACCTAGGTTTTTGTTTGTTTTGAGATGAGTCTTTCCTAGCTCGTACTGACTTCAATACTGTAGTCAAGGATGACCCTGAACTTCTAATCCTCCTGAGTTTAGGGTTACATGTGTGAGCTGGTTTATGCAGTGTTGGGGTTTGAACCCAGGGCTTTGTACATGCTGGGTAGGCACTCTGCCAAGTGAGTTACATCTCCAGCCCTATTTCTGTTTGGTTGTTGAGATGGAATCTCATACTGAAGCTCAGGCTGGCCCTGAACACTCAGTCTGCGTGCCTTAGCCTCTTGAATGTTGGGATTACACAGATGTGCCACCATGAACATTCTTTCTTTCTTTGAGACAGGGTTTCTCTGTAGCCCTGGCTGTCCTGGATCTCGCTCTGTAGCCCAGGCTGGCCTTGAACTCACAGAAATCTGCCTGCCTCTACCTCCGGAGTGCTGGGATTAAAGGTTGTGCCATCGCATGTACTTTAGCTCTCGACACATAGAAAGAGGCCGTGTTTTGGAGGCATCGTGGCAGAGATCTTCTATCCCAGTAGTCAGGAGGCTGAGGCCAGAGAACTGTAGCAGTTCAAAGCCAGTTTAGGCTGCCTAGTGAGTTCAAGATTGGTCTTGAACTAATTGAACTAGGGGGCCAGAGAAATTGCTCAGCAGTTAAGAGCATGTGCTGTTCTTGCTGAGGACTTGGGTTTGGTTCTAGAACTTTTCCCTCTAAGTACTGGGGATTGAGCCTAGGCAAGTGCTCTTCCACTGAGCTACATTCCAAATCGAGGACCTGGGTTTGGTTCCCAGTCATCCTATCAAGTGGCTCACAACCTCTTGCAACTCCAGGGGATCAGATGCCTTCTTTCGGTCTTTATGGGACGCCACACACATGCATGCACACACACACACACACACATACACACACACACATCTTAAAAGGAAAGATTAGCTAGGGCTATACAGTTGGGCCCTGTCTCAAAAAAATACTACTAACAGAGACCAAGTAGAGTGACTGGCCTATACTTAGGTTTGTGTAAATACACTCTTTGATGTTCCCACAGCGAATACATTTGCATTTCTCAGCACAGTGTCCTGTTGTTCAATTGGCATGACTCTACTTAAAAAACAGACAAGCGCTGGGCGGTGGTGGCACACGCCTTTAATCCCAGCACTTGGGAGGCAGAGGCAGGCGGATCTCTGTGAGTTTGAGGCCAGCCTGGGCTACCAAGTGAGTTCCAGGAAAGGCACAAAGCTACACAGAGAAACCCTGTCTTGAAAAACCAAAACAACAACAACAAAAAAAATAAAAATAAAAAAAAAACAGACAAGCAACCCTGCCCTCCTCCCCTCTTCCTCTTCTCCTCCTCCCTTCCTTTCTTTTGGCGGACATAAAGACTGTATCCAGGTCAGTGTGTATCTGTGAGTGCCTGACTTCATGGGGGAGAGCTCCATTATGACAAATGAAGAATAGATAAGAGGATGGAGGAGCCAACGAAAACCAGGCCCTGCAATCAGGTGCCAGGATCTAAGACAGGCGCAGTGAGGTCCCTGGCATTGTGTCTGAGGTGCCAGGGTCTAAGACAGGCGCAGTGAGGTCCCTGGCATTGTGTCTGAGGTGCCAGGATCTAAGACAGGCGCAGTGAGGTACCTGGCACTGTGTCTGAGGTGCCAGGATCTAAGACAGGCGCAGTGAGGTCCCTGGCATTGTGTCTGAGGCCTGTGAGATGAGGCCTTTGGAACTGCAGCCAGAGGAAGGTCACAACAAGAGAGCTAGACATGGCCACCTTCCTCATCCCTTATCTCAGCTTGTTCCTGGCAGACAAGACCTGAGACGCTTGCCTTTCCCAAAGTCATCTAGAGCAAGGGGATGCTCAGAATTTAATGGGGTGAGAGAATTCCAAGGGATGATGCCTCCCCTTTCCCAGCAGAGGGCAAGACACATGGCTTTCTGAGCTGAAGCCAGAAGGGCAGAGCCGAGCTCCTCCAATTTGAAATTTTATGAATCTTATTACTATGGTGGTGTTATAAATGATTAATATAGCATTTGAATTGTCCAGTGGAGACAAGGAAGGGAAGAAGATTAATATTTCTTGAGAACGACAGGCATCAGGGTTTCTGGAGTGCTTGCATACATTATCTCACGGAGTTTAACCCGGCCCAGTTAACCCCTTGCCTCCCACAGCTTCTCCTTTATCTCTGCTCCATCTGGGCCTTTGCAAGGAAGGCTGATATTCCCCTGTCCGTTTTTGTTCCCAGGAGCTGTCTGGGAGCTGTCCGAGCATCGGTTCATGACACCAAGTTGTACTGGAGGCTTGTGAGGACAGGCCTGGAGGAGGAGGAGGAGGCAACGAGAGCCGGGATTTCCTCTGGCCATCTTTCCAATCAGCCCAGTGACCTTTATTTACTCTTCTTCTTCTTTTTTCTTTTTCATTGTTTACTTTTTAATTTTCATTTAATTTGCATTGCACTTATTGTGGTGTTGTGAGGATAGAACCCAGGACCTTGCGGATGGTAGGCGGGCACTCCACCACTGAGCTACCTCCTCTGCACTTACGTTCATGCTCGACAGACCCTCTCCTAAGCAGTCATCACTCCAGTGCCCATGCTCCCCTCCCGAGGGTGTAGATGGGAGGGTGGCGTTCCGGGGCTCACCCTGGATCTGCCAACCCCCCCTCACCGGTCCTCAGGCTGATCCCGAAGAGCTGTAGCATGGAAGCTCAAGAAGAACTGGGGTCTTCCTGTTTCGTGCGTGTCTGTTCCTGGAACAGTGTGCGACACATAGTAGGTCCCCGGAAAATACCTACTGGATGAGTCTCAGGCCCTTCCTTCTGCAGAGACATCTTCGTTTAGGAAATCTGTGTCACTGGGCTCTTGTACTCTGCTCTGGCCACCATGCGGGGTTGGGTGGAGAGGAAGAATCCTGGCCTTCATCCTTCAGCTCCCCTCGGGCTCCCCAGGCTGCTCAGGAAGCCCCAGTGTGTCACAGTGAAGGAGGGTGGGGAGGGGTGCCTGTAAGAAAACTTCTGTCAGGGTCACGGATGGCCTGGCTTCTGAGAGTCTGTAGTCACAGGACAAAGCAGGTCTGGTGGTGAGGCAGGCTACGGGAGGCAGAGAGAGGGAAGTGAGAGAGGAGGAAGGCGCAGGGACAGTCTGCCATCTTCCACGGAGGCTGTATGTTATCCACAACAGATGTTTCCCCTCAGCCCCACAGAATCTTTAGCAATGGCCTGGTGGGGTACAGAAAACCTCTTACGGGCTCAGCTGTTCACTGGGGACAGACCTTGGTTCCCTCTTCCTCCCTGCCAGGCTATAGCTTGTGGAACAAGTTAAACTTCTGAAGTTCAAGGTCTCTTAGGCAAGAGGTGGTCTCCTGAGGCCTGGTACCATTCCTGTGCATTAGGAACCCCCACCCCCACCCCCCACCTGAAACACATACAGCATGTCCTTTACTTGCCAGACAGGCAGGCAGGAAGGTCAATGTCCTCCAAAGTCTGTCTTCGGGCAGCCTTTCCAGCCAGGTCATGATCTGAGCAATAAGTCTCCCATTGTGGAGGGGTAAGCACACTCCTGGGCTTCTTATAATCCTGGCTCTGGAGACAGGCCCTAGGCATTAGCAACATAGCCTTTGGGTCCCAGAACCAGCATCATGGGTAGAGGCCAGAAGCAACTCTTTTAGTTAACAGCAGGATGCCCCCTGCTCCCACACACATACAACTGTAGAACCAGCCCTCTCATGCAGAGGGAGAATGTATGGTTGTTTTCCTTCATGGCGTCCCAGAATAGTCACCTCAGAAAAAATACAGGCATTGGTTGAATTGATTCTCCATGGTATGTATTTTACAGCAAATGTGAAAACTAAATCTGGGTCCTCAAGCTTCTCTGTTCATTTTCAGCATGCAAAATCCTGTTCCCACCCCCGCCTCAATCCACTGGTCTCTACACCATCAGACTATCCAATTTGGAGGAGCTCCATGCTGGGAAGTTTTCCCTAGGGGCTCAGGTAGTGTCCTTAGCTTTCTATCACGGTGATAAAACACCATGACCCAAAGTGTTTATCTCTGCTTACAGCTTGTCCATTATCCAGGCCAACCACTCAAGGCAGGAGCTGATGCAAAGGTTAGGAGGGGTACTGCTCACTGGCTTGCTCTTCATGGCTTGCTCAGCCTGCTTTCTTATAGTACCCAGAACCACCAGCCCAGGGATAGCACTGACCACAGCGAATTGGGCTCTCGCATGTCAATCATTAATAAAATGTCCCACAGTCTCTCCCACAGGCCAAATGATTCTGCCCATGCTGAGTTGTCATAAAACTAGCCGGCACAGGTTGGTTGGATTTTCCATCCCATTAGCTCTGTCTTGTAACCCAAAGGGCTCCCCAAGTGGGCAATATGCTCGGAGCGGCTCTCCACCTGCCTGGGACTTTTGTCTGGGCCCGGGAAGGACAGTCAAGTCGTTTGCATTGACTTTGTCCCACTGCTGACCATTGCCCTCTCCTTGAGGGGTTCCCTCCCCCCTACACCCCCCTTTTTGGTAATTAACAGGGCCCAGAAGGGCATTCTGCCAGCAGACGGCCAAAAGGCAGAGCAGGCAGCTGTGGCGGTGCCAGCAGAGGACAGGCTATTAAAACAAAAATGATTCATCTTGGGAATGAGAGCAAATCGCTTTCCATTTATGGGAATTGGGGCTGGGCTCCAAGCAGCCTGCATGCGATGAGCAGCGGGCCGATGAGTCTGGGCCATTGACCATTAAATAAGGAGCACTTTGAGTGCTCCCTGCTGACTCCTCTGAGAGGGGATCTGGCGGGCACAACCGGCAGGAGAGCCAGGGGAGGCCTAGGGAGACCCGGGCTTCTCGGCTGTTAGGACGCTCCTGCCAGTTGTGACCTTGGAAGTCCCCAGTAGTCCTGAGTGTCCTTGTTAATGGAGACCCTTAGGAAACAGTCTCAGGATTCCCAATCTCTGTGCTCCATCACCGGGTGACTCACCAGGATATGTTCATTTCAGATGCTCAGGGCTTACGGTCCAGGACTCTCTCTGTAGCCCAGGCTGATCTGAATTCACAGTCATCCTCCTGTCTCAGCCTCCCGAATGCTGAGTTTGCAGGTGTGAGGCACCACACCTGACTCAAGGTGACTTAAAGGCACTTGTTGAGTGTGCCCGCTGCAATGGGTGCCAGGCTCTGGGGTCTGCAAAGAACAAGATAGGAATCTCATCCTCAAAGGACTTGGTGTGCTGGACTAGGTGGACTGCAGATCGACACAGGAAGACAAGGCCTCGGGGAAGGACTGTGAGGGAGACCACGGTGGAGGCCTGAAGTGGGCAGAGGTTAGACCAGCCTTGTAGCATGTGGAATAGACCGGAAAGGCAGCATGGTGACTTTCGTGCTGGGTCCCAAGGATGACTGGGTCCTCCCTTTCCTGGTAGATTGGTGTGGGGCAGCAGAATGAAGTGGGAAAGATCTGTGTGGAAATCGTAATTCCGGTGGTCTGCTATGGCTTGAGGAGAGGCATGGGTGGAGAGAGGCCAGTTCAGGAAGCTAGGGAATGTCACAGTAAGGAGATACTGAGCCTGGAGCCTCAAGTGAGGGGGCAGTGAGGTCAGCTTGCAGTTTTAGGCAACTTCTAGCCTCCCCTGAGCGCTTTTCATGAGGCCCACCCAGGGAAGCCCATAGAGTCTGAAACTGAATTTGAAATGTGTGTGTCAGTTTGCTAGCATTTATTTGTAAAAGGAAGCAGGCAAATGACTATATGTTGTTTTATTTTTCAATGTTTTCTTTATGATTTTATTTAATTTAAAGAACTCTGTTGTTATTGTTGGGAGAGAGAGAGAGAGAGAGAGAGAGAGAGAGAGAGAGAGAGAGAGAGAGAGATGCAAATACGAATGCCATGGTGTGGATGCAGAAGTCAGAGGACAACTTTGTGGAGTAATTTCTCTCCTTCTATGGGTTCTGGAGCTCACACAGAACGGAGGTTGACAGGCTCGGAGGCAAGCGCCTCTCTCTACCCACCGAGCCAGCTCACAGGCTCTGCTTTCATTTTTTTTTTTTTTTTTAAAAACACACACACACACACACACACACACACAGGGTTTTGTGTAGTTGAGATTGGCTTTAAACTCAGTACGTGAATTCCTGCTCCACGTCTCAAGTTCTAGGATGCCAGATATATACCACCATACTCGGTTATGTTTTTAAATTTTAGTAATGATGAAATTTGATATGCACCAGTAATCCCAGCTGTCCAGGAGACCAGGTTAGGCAACATAGAGAAACCCAAAAAACAAAACAAGTGGGAAAGAGGTTAATACAGAAAGAGAGGGAGGGAGGAAAAAGTAAGGTTGTTTGAAAAGGCTATAAGAAATCATATTATTTTTTATTTGCCCCAAATTATTTATAATACATATTAGCCTCTCTCTCTCTCTCTCTCTCTCTCTCTCTCTCTCTCTCTCTCTCTGTCTCTCTCTGTCTCTCTCTCTCTGTCTCTCTCTGTCTCTCTGTCTCTGTCTCTCTGTCTCTGTCTCTCTGTCTCTGTCTCTCTCTCTCTCTCTCTCTCTCACACACACACACACACACACACACACACACACACGGGGGGAGAGATATTAAATGAATTAATTAAACAATGTATACTTTAAATGAAGTAGTTAAGCCACTTGGGTTGACCATGCTTCCCCAAAGAGCCATGGACTACCTATTAAAATTCCCAGTTCCAGGCATGAGAAACCCACTTTCAAAGTATTGGTCACGGAAATTCAAGAGATCCTTAAAACAATTCAGGCTATTGCTCTTGCCCCTGATTGCCTCCCACAGGTTAAAGGTGATTCCCTATTGCTGAAGACACCATGGACTCAGGATGCAGGACTTAGAAGACCCGAGCTGGATCTGATCTGAGGACTAACTTTCATAGTCTTGGAAGGCGCTATGCAAGCTGCCAAGGACAGAAGGAAACCAATAGCCCTCCTCAGTCATGAAGCTTATGAACCATATTGACCAGCATGGCAAGATATCCTTAAGGATGGCACTCATACCTTGGCAGTAACCAACAGATATCTAATTGGACTTAAGGCCCACTCATCAAGATGGCAAACTAGCCAACTGCTTGGGGCCAGTGAGGTCATGGATCTTAGGGGAGAACCTACTACCACCACTTTCCTAAACCAGAATAATTCCTAACAGCATTCTAAACACGTATCCTCATACTCACGGATAAATGTAGCTCCCAGTGCTCACAAAAGAAACTTCTCTTTGCAGTAAGTTATAGAAAATCATAACTGGTCAAAATGCGGAGAGCCATTGATCATGGGGTGCCCAGCTCTGGTGGATACATTGATAGCCCAGCTCCTACATGCAAGGCGTGGGAACATCACAGAAGAAGGGCGGAAAACTTGTAAATCTGCTGCAAGACTGTGTCTCTTAGACACAATAGGAAAGCTTGTCCCATGATACCTCAACAACATGG